CCCGCACGCACGCGGCCTGCCGCACGCGCCCGCCTCAGCCCTGGCGCGCCCAGAACACTCGACCGCCCCGTGCCTCTCGCACGGACACGTCATCCTCAGCCCCCTCCACCCTCATGTTCCCCGAGTCCCCCCTCCCCGCCCCACCCCCGCTGCCGCGGCGCGCGGCGCGCACCTGCGAGGGGGTACTCCCCGCGCCCCCGCCACGCGCTGTCCTGCACCTCCATCCGCCACCGCGCCAGCCCGCGCGGGCCCTCGCGGAGCGGCAGGCAGTGCAGCAGGTGCAGGTGGCTCGCGAACACGCCGGAGCAGCCGCGGGCGACGAGGGCCTCCAGCATGGCGCCCGCCAGGGCGGTGCCGGCGCGGACCTCTGTACCTTTGCCAAGCTCGTCCAGCAGCACCAGCGTCCTCGGGCCCGCGATGGCAATCAGGTTGCTGTCGCGGCGGCGGGGTTTGGAGGGGGCGCGAGGAGGAATGCAAACGCGTGTGCGCGTGGTCGGTGTTGGATGATGCACACTACCGCTAACAGTGCGAAATACGATTGTACGCGTATGCATGTACGTGCGCGCATGCGCTTGAGGTTTGAGGAAGGGGGAGGGGCCCGCGGGGCTGGCGCGCTAGGGCGGGTGTCGAGGGGTTGCTTTGGGCCGGGCGTCAAAGTGGGGGCGCGAACAGCCTCGGCGGCGGGCACGGTTGGGCACTGGTCACGTTCAACCTCAGACCTCCCCCTGTCCAGCTGCGCAGCACGCCGTTGTCTCACACAATCGCCCGCCCCCGGACGCACCAGCCCGCACGCAAACGCGCCCGCGCGCCCCCGGCCCCCACCTCATGTCCCGAATCTCCACCCCGAACGCGCTCATCCTCTCGCTGGGCGCGTCGCCGCTGAAGTTGCGCAGCACAAACCCGTCGTAGTGGGGAACGCGCGCGCGCCTGGCGGGCACCAGCAGGCCGCAGTTGGCGAGCAACGCGGCGGCCGAGATGGCGCGGAGCGCCGTGGACTTGCCTGCGGGGATGGCGGCGGGCGTATGGTGTGTGTGTGTGTGTGTGTGTGTGTGTGTGTGTGTGTGTGCGCGCGCGTGCGCGCGAGGGAGGGAGGGAGGGAGGGATGCACGCACGCACCAACACGCACACACAACCTCTCTCACACACAAACACACAACCTGACGCACGTTCACGCACACGCGTGCATGCACAACCAACCCCTCAACAGCCACCCACCCGCCATGTTTGGCCCCGTCAGCATGACCATCCCGTCCAGCTCGACGTCATTAGTCACCGTCGCCGACTCGCGCGAGTCCATGTAGTACGGCCACAAGGACTGCGCGTGACCGGCGGGTTACCCGCGCGGGTGACACAGGAGGATGGATGAATACGTGGCGTTGTGGTGCTGGGAGGCGGACGCAAGCCAACGCGCGCGGCGCACCCACAGACTTGGCTGACGAGGCTCATCATGGGCCGGCGAGACTGGACACGGGTGTCATCCTCGAGGGGGGCGGCCGGGCGACCCTGGCAAGACACAAGGTGACGTCATGCGGTGTCACCATCATTCGCCCCCGCCCCACCTCCAGCACCAGCCTCCGGCCCTCGGGGTCCCCCAGGCCGTCCCCACCGCCGCTGCCGCCAGCCGCCTCGCTGCCGGCCGCCTCGCCCGCGGCCGCCGGCGGCGGCACGAGCTCGGGCACGGTCCAGCCGCGGGGCTGGGCGTGCGCCACGTGCAGCGCGAGCGCCTGGGTGGGTGACGGAGCGGGCGCACCCGGGGCTGTTTCTGTGGGCATAATGCCGCGGAGCACAAAGCCTCAAGCGGCAGAGCGCGGGCCTTGTGATCCATGTCGGCATGCGGGGCACAGCACAGCGCCGACGGTCAAACGTTGACCGTGGCTCAGCTCAGCTGAGGCCGAAGACGGCGCAAACGTGTGCGCGAGCCCTGCCAGGTGCGACCCGCGCGTTGTTGTCGCGCACCTGCATCAGGACGCTGAAGTTCGCCGCCGCCGCCAGCGCCGGCAGCGAGGGCTCCAGGTCGGCCGCCAGCTGCTGCAGCCGCCGCCGCGCGGCCGCCGACGCCGCGTTGGCGGCGGAGCGCCAGGCGTCCAGCCGGGCGGAGAGGGCGGGCGCGAAGTGGAAGCCGGCGCCGCGGACGCCCTTGGGGCGCTTGGTGGGCTCGTGAACCAGGCCCAGCGCGGCAGCAGACTCGAGAATGGTCTGGTGGTTGGGGCGGGGGG